CCTATAATTTTCAGGTTCAGCTAGGCACAACATGATGGAAATCGATGTGAGTCTTTTCACAGAGCATTCTGCACCTTGTAATACCAGCTGTTGAAATGCTTCTGCCAGGATTCTCTCTGGTACTTTGCTGGCATGTTCTCCCTCCCCAAAGCCAAAGCCAATTACTTGCCTGGCTCTTGATTTTGCTGGGAGATGAATTGCCACATCAGGGCTCTCATCAGTAGAAGCTTGCAGCCAAGCTTAGGAAAAACTTCTTTAATGAAAGAGTGGTTAGGCATTGGAACAGGCTGCCCATGGAGGGAATGGAGACACCATCCCTGGAGGTGTTCAAAAGATGTATAGATGTGGTGCTTAGGGACATGGTTTAGTGGTGGGCTTGGCAGTGTTAGCATAATGGTTGGGCCTGATGATCTTGAAGGTCTTTTCCAACCAAAATGATTCTATGATTCTGTTGACGTGGCTCAGCAGATCTATTCAGAGGCACAGAACTGTGTAACATCTTTTAATTAGCCTTGTGATACTTACTGTCCATTCCCAGTTGCATATGTAACTGTGGGAGTGAATAACATTGTGCTTCAGCCCAGCAAAGCCACTCACTTCCCAGATGACTCCTCCCAGTGCCGTATGCTTCCTATGGATATGTTCTTCCACAGTGTTTGAAGCAGGATCCTTTTTTTCCAAGATACTTCATTTGCTTTGCAGCAGCGTTGAGAGATGCATTGTAGGTGTGTTTCAGTCACTTTAAGGCTGTCAAGAGAGCAATACATGAAGCGAAGTCTCCTGGTGTGGTGTGGAGGCTGCCTAAATGTGATAGCATTGTGCGAAGGGAAGAGCCGTATTTAGCTCCGGTGGAGTTAAGTTTGGCTGGCAATGATTAGCAACAGGACTAGCAGTGATTGCTGGTACCAGTAGTAAATGCTTCAATAATATGAATGTCTCTTTTAGTTGAACTGTGAGGTATTTAATATATTGCTGCTGTATATAGCAACAAATCTAAAAGGCAGAGAAAAACTTATACATGAAAAAAAAAAAGAAAAGATAGATCCACACTTCTGTACCAGTGACTCCAGCAAGCCTTTGTGATTTCTGTACGTGCCCAAAGCCATGTACATGTTCTGTGAGCTATCAAAACTTCCAGCTGCTGCTTGCAAATGTATGCACTACAACTCTGCCTGACTGTGGGCAAGTCATTTTACAATTTTGCACCCCTGTTAATTTAATCTGTCTTACTTAGTGATCATTGGGATAGAAATTATCTTTTGTGAAGTGCATGCACTTTGCCTTGTAGAAATTCTTGAGTCTCAGTTAGATTGCTAGATGTTGCCTAAAAATTATATATTCTTGGGACATGCTCACTTGGAGAATAACGTAGCTTTGTAGCCTGTTCCAGTTGAACTGATGAAGGGTGTTGAATGCAGTGAAAGCTCAGTGAATACAGTGAAAACACTCCTCCTCATTCTCTGTGCCTGATTTTTATTTTTAAATGTAGTACATTTTGATCACTGCATCATTGAGTATGCCGAGGGTTGGCTTTGCTGTCTTGGACTTTGTTACACTAGGATGTCAAAGAGAGTCTCAACTTTTCCTGAAACTTTGCCCTACTGAGAGATGCGGTGATTCTGTGGTCTTTCAAATTGCAATGTTAAGTTTGGGGAGAAAGAAAACATGTTCGTGTTTCAATGGGTTTATTCTATATGTTTATTATTACAGCCTTTTGGGAAGTTTTTGTGCTCAACTGACAATGTAACTTATCAATTATTGTTATGGAAGAGTCACAAGAGCTGTATTCATTCGTATTTGGCTTGGGTACATGTTAGCTTTGCCCAGACCTCCAAACCTGCCAAGGCCCAAATGTGGAATGTGATGAGTATGGTAAAGACTGGACTGGTGAGGAGAAAAAAGCTATTCATGTAGAAAAGCTAAAATTTTGCCTGTAGTTAGTATAATAGTATATTGTAATGTGTTTTGTTATGCTTTATTTCTGATGTATTGGCAGGTTTTAGTCTCTTCTGTTTTTTTTCTGCGGTAAAGTCAATTTGGTTAGTTATTCTGCCTGTCCCTAAAAGGCACATAGCGAAATCATGCTACCTTTTTTTGGTGAGTGGCGCAATGGCATGGCTGACATTTGTATTCTGCTGCATGTGTGTTTGCAGCCCAGATGACTGGGGACCACTTTGGGTGGTCACTGCTGGGAATGGTCTTCAGAGAGGAGTTCCCAGGACTGGATTTACACTAAATAAACAGAGGCCATCAGGGTAAAACTGTGATTCATTAGGAACCCTGGTTTAGGTTAAAGTGATAAAAATAGCTGCAGGACATCTTAAATTACTTTAAAAAATGGAAAAGTTAATTACTTCAATCTACAGTGTTTTATGAATTGTCCACTTTTCTTTTTATAATTCTTTGCCTTACTCTCCTCTATTCAGTACAACTAGGTATATAATCCAAAGAAATAGGTGAAAGGATTCAACTGTCAAAGATTCAGATTCTGTAAACTTAAGCTTTTTTAGGCAGGGCTGTTAGTACTACTGTGTTTGTCCTCTCTGTTCTGCCACGATGTGTTCCTGGAAATTTTCATTTTCTAATCTGGTTTTAGGCAAGATGCAAGAAATGGAAATAAAATACCAGAAAACCCTTCTTGTAGATAAATGTACTACATCATTCATTGCAATTACTTTAGTTATTCATGGAAATGTTCCATAATGGACTAGTGAACATGTGTGTTGTATGTTTTATGTAAAGAAAACATAATTATTTGACTCCTACCCATATGCTCTTACCAGAATGTTACGGACATGATTTTTTCAATCTTGCACGTTGGCAGAGTTACAATGACTCCACTTTCTGCAAATATTCTATATTAAAAAAATATGCTTTATGTTTAACTTTGCAGATCCAGAATGCTAATGATGTGCTAATAGCACCACTGGAGAAATTTCGTAAAGAGCAAATAGGAGCAGCAAAAGTAAGTGACTGTGGAAACAGTTCTTTTTCATTTCATGTTTATTTGAGTTTATCAGTGTGTTTTGAAGGCTGGACTGAAAACAGGCATTTTGTATTCAAACATACTTGATGCCATCCTCGTTAATGTGTTACTAAATTGTACTGGATTCTTTGCTTCAGAGAAGGAGATGATTTAGAAACGGAGTTTAAAGACTGATAATATGCATAGGGTACCGCTCTTGCTGCTGTTGCACATTCTTGCCGTCTGGAATTGTGTTCGCCTTCTGATGTCTGCATTTACCTTATGTTGCATCTTGGGTTAACGCAGACCCGCACAGAGAGTTCAAACAGCTGCTATAGTGCAGTGGCCCTCAAGTATAAAGACCGAAAGAAGTCAGTGCACTTTAGGCATACTCTCTTTCTGTCTCTGCTTTCTCTATCCACTTTACATGGCTGATGCAGTGCAGTAATTCATATTCATTTTGACAGAGTATTCATCTTCATATTGCCCCGAGATTTTCCCATGGTGGAAGTACTCCAGTTGGTGATTGAAGCCAGTTTTTTGGTGTTAAAGTGTTATATCTGTGTTACAGAAACAGTGCAGGTTGTCTATACCAGGAAATCAGATGTATTGGGGAAAAAGATGCTGGAATGAACTGTTAGTCTAGAAGAGCTATTTTCAGTCTGATCCTGGAGTCTGGTTATCAGTGACTGCTTTGATCACAATCTCAGAGAGATGCATAAAGGCTGCAGTAGTCAATTAGGGGTATGGTTAGTAACAGTTCCTTTGGTCTACATAAATATGCTAGTTCTGAAGCATTTTGCATCTTGTATTAGAGGTCATAAAATTTTCTGGGAAATTTTCCGTTGTAAGGTTAAATGTCTACAAAAAAACCCAAACTCTTTGATATTGTAGCTGAGGTTGCGCTTGTGCTGTACTCAAACCTCAGAACAGAGCTGTTGGAGACGGAAGCTTTATACTTTTTGTACTGATATTGTGGATGTGTAGCAAACAGATGAGGCTGCTTCCGCACAGGAACTAAGTAAATGAGAAGTATTTTTACTGTGAACTTGAGGTCAGGTTTCTCTGAAATGGATGTTCTTTACCCTCTTACTTGATATGTTTTTGTGTACAACTGCATTCTTTTCTTGTCCCACCCCTGTGCTGCTGTGAGATGCAGGGCTGGGAGTTTATTTACCGTGCTGCACAAATCCGAATTCAATCCCAGCACAAAATTATTTTTAGTTTTCAGTGGGTTGTAGTTGTGTTGTTCAGTTCTTTGTGTTACCATTTCATTACCCCCAAATGAAGGGCAGAGAGCCCTGTTTGAAAGCCCAACCTGTCATACTATTGACTGTCCTGGTACCTCAGAGAGATGAACCACAGGCAGCTCATGGGGCACTTTGCAGAACTGTGTAAGACACTCATGTCTCCTTTGAACATATCACTCAGTAGATGTCAACACATATTTAATGATCTAATTGAAGATTACTCCTTTGTTTATTTAATCAGCAAGTATTTAACATTAAAGGCAGGCCACTAGAGGACAGGTTGAGTTCTCTCTCTTTGATATGTCACAACAGCTGGTTTCTTTTCCATATCCCTTCCAGATAAAATATGGGCATTTGCCCATCTTATATAATTTGTGGAAACAGTGATCATTTTGACTTGTCTGTGGTCACACAACAGTGTACTGAATGAGTTCAGGCGAGAGCAGAGAGCCTGGCTTAGCTAACTCTTATTCCAGTGTCTAATGCACTTTATTATGTAGCGCTGTGTGTGTTTTGGGCAGTCCAGGATACTGGCTTGACACATTAGTACCATATAGAGAGCTCTCCAAGCTCGTTGTTTCATGAAATGTCAAATTCGTCTTTTCTTGCACTGCTCGTGGATTTCAACTGTCAAGCTCAAAAATGAGATTCAGACTGTCTGCATAACCCAGATTGCCATACAAACATTCACCTCTGAAATGATTATCAGCGGAAGCATTTATAGTTGGCCTTTAACTAAATGGAATCAACACAAAGAAGTGAGAGATTAATTAAATTTAATACTGTTTTCCTAGAAATTACAAAAGAGCAACATGTCATCTAGGAATAACGAGACTGGTATGAAATAGAATAGAAATCTGGGCTTTCTGAAACCATTGTTAGTAGAGTACATGGTCAGATTGCTTACCTCCACTTCTGTTCGCTGGGCTCAACTCTAGAGCATTTATGAACTCTTATAAATATGGGATGAATTGAGCTTGCTAGTTATTAATCTGCAGATAATGAAGGTTTGCACAGAGATTTGGCTCTTTGAACTCCTCTGGGGTGATCTGCACTGATAGCCAAACGTAGACAGTTTTGTTGTTGCTCAGATTTCAGCACAAGTTTCACAGTACACTGAGAATGTCACTCTTTATTTGAAGTCTTCTCTAAACATGTCAGCTGTATGGACCGTATATCAACTCTTACTTTTTGCTCTGAAATACCAGGTTTGAGCTGTTTTTTCCTCTAGTAATGACTAACAACAATCAAACCCAAACTCCTGTTTCTATCATCCCTCTCCCCTGCAAAAAATCAAAACCATTTCTGTGTATGTGTTCCGCTCCAAAGAGAGGCTGAGATGGTGCAGACTCCACAGGATAGCTGATAGTTATGTCTTCTTATATATTTCTAGAGCTGTGAATTTACAATTAATTTGCTTCATAACATCTTATGGACCTACATTTTAAGAGATTAGGTATAGAAGCGCGAGGTTAATTGTATATGCCTTTTGCATTGGCAATTTCAGCCGCAGCTAGAGGTGCAAGCAGCTGGTCTTTGCGATCAGACTTATGTTGTGAGAGTGGACTTTATAAGGAGTAGTGAGTGTTGGATTCTCTCTCTTCTAACTGGAGTTTGAAATTACTGATTTTAGTACCCTGTTCAGTTGTGTTTCCAACTTTGTGGAGGAAAATTTATTGGGTAGTTGTGTTACCAATATACGTAACAGTAAATGATATTAGGTACTACTGTCTGATTTTGGGGAGGGGAAGATTATGAGAGTGAGTGCTTACTAGGCTTTTTTCTTTCTTTTCTAAAGCACCAGATAAAATTCAGCTGGAGATAAAAACAAGCAATTCCCCACCCACCGCCCTTCCCCTCCACAAACACAGAGGAGAAAAAAGATAAAATGTTGTAAATTAGTGATGGTTTTCACTATGACAATCGCCATTTTATTTTAATACTAAGTAACTTTGCAAGATTTTTACTACCACAGTGAACTTAGGTAGGACTACCCTATTGTTGTGTTTAATATAGAAAATCTGAATATCTTGTTCCTTCTTCAAAGCTGTATCGTTTAGGCAATAAATATGATCACAGAAATCAAAGAGAATGTGGAGGATAAAATATGTCCTGTTGATGTTACAAAGCTGTATTTTAAATACAAGGACAGCATAAACCCAGAGTGCAAAGTTCAAGTGTTTTTTGGGACATCTCAAGAATAACGTTAAAGATAAATTCTTCACATGCACTTCGAAAACCTAAAGGTACCCAACAAATTTGAGAAACATTCCCCATAAAACATTAGTGTTTGTAATCAAACCAGCAACACACAAATCTACGTCTCTTGCTCTTCTCGATTTATACTACTCGCTCTTCTGTTTTTATTGCACATATTTCAGTTCTTCCTTTTCTGTACACACTCAGTTTAAATAAAGCTGAGTTCTCTCCAGAGACTACACAAACCCAGCTTTGCATTGGATAGCCTGTTGATTTACTCCATCTGAGTTTAAAAAAATGACCTCTGCAATTATTGTAGAAACGCGAGCAAAAGCCTGGTGAGGTAACTGGGAAAGGATTTCAGGCACGAAGCATTTTGCCTTATTTGGTAAATGTGGTTTGCAAGTCCCCAGCTGGTAACTTTGGTGAGATCATTGTGTGATGTGTTATGTACAATAAGGCCAAACTTTCATGTTTCTTTTCATCCATTGACTACAGTATTTCGCAATATTTGTTCCAATGTTCATTGACCTTTAGTACAACTGAAATCAGATCAAAGACAACAGAAGCAGTTTTGGTTTTAAGACTTAAAAAGGAGAGTTTTGTTTCCTCCTTACAATTCCATCTGTTTGTTTCATAAAATTATTTATTTTGGCCAGGAAGATTATTTTTTATTATTATTTCATTTCATTCATTCATTTGAAGCCATGGATTCCTTTCTACTTGGGAAACAAATCCATGTTCAATGCTGGGGTTAATTTTCCTGCGTCTATGTTCACATTTATACTCACGTGATGCAGGCGTGCAAGAGCTGGCATGCTCTCTCTGTTTTGTTTGGATTGTCCAGAAGTTGAGGAGCATAAAAGAAACAAAAATAACCCCATTTTTTAAAGTCTGTCAGAAAGCTGTCAAAGCAGAGTTTTAGGTAGGTATCTGGGACCAGTTAGAAATGCCAGAATGCCCATTTTGTGAACCGCTTTCCTTGGTATCTAGTCAATTACAGCACTTGTTGTCCTTTAACTGAGAAAAGTGAATGACCTTGCTCTAGTAGGTACAGTGGAAGATGTTTCAGTATAAACAGCATCTGTTACTGAAGGTTTGGTACTTGTGTCCACTAGTTTGGGGATATTTTAATGTCAATCTGAACAATAGAGGGGAGGGGGCCAGGCGAAGGAAGCAGAAATAGAGGCCAGGCCAGGATAATTGATGGCCAAATATTTTGAGTTAAAATGCAACACAGTTTCCCAAAAATGGTTATTACCACAGTCACCTGATATCTTTTTTGATAAGATAATTTATTTTATAGGCAAGGAAACACAGTGGATCAAACCTATTTCTGTTTCAGCAAGGCCTTTAAAGCACTCTATGTGAGACATTATAATTTATTTTAGATGGGGGTTAGTATAAAAAACCAAATCTAAGGCACTGGCTGATGGGGAAAGGGCAATGAGTTTTGTTTATGGGAGAGAATGTCTGAGAGAAGTTACTAATTAGAAGATCCCAAGAGGCAGTTTGAGATCACTCTGTTATTTTATTTTCGGTAATAACCAG